AATGCAATCCGTGCGCTTTTTATTATGTCCTGACCATTATTTTCAACATTTAATGAGTCAGTTGATGTTGTCCAGGAGTGCTGCCTACAAATTCACCCAGCTTCCTCGTTATCCAGTGCGGCCAAAACTTTGCGACAATTAATGGTTAGAGCTGCGACTGATATGTTCTGCCTTATGAAAACATCAGTTTCATATCAGATAACATGACTTTTAACCTTTTTGCAAGAACATGAATATGTTCTGGATCTTTGCTGGAGTATTTTAGCACACACTATACAGATCAAGACATTGATTTAACATGATAAACTAGTACAATAGATGTGTCACCTTGTCATTCCAGACATACAACGTATAAAAAATAGCTCCATCACATTGAGAATTACTTTTACTCATTGAACCAGATTCAATGCTTGCAGAGGCGAAAAAGCGAACCGGAACACACTGAAATCAGTAATTCAGTAAATCAGCATTAAAGTTCACAAATTAAACCAACTAAAGTAATTGCGAATGGAATCAATAAAGGAGCGAAACGAGTTAGGAGCCATACTTCGGATCCCAAAGTGGAGATGAATAGAAACATTTGGGGCTAATGTGCTGACGAAAAAATTTCGACATTTAAAATAACACCTGCAACACTTCTACTTACTGATGTGGATAAAAAAGAACGACGTATAACAGAATACAGCATTTTTGGTGACAACTTAAAGCTTCTATCACTTAACTTTTGTAGGGATAGTCTAGCTTTTAATAACTCTTTAGGAGACCCGATGTATTACTTGAAAAAGTTGAAAGGGGCCCTGAAAACACAGAGAATAGAAGCTCCTCAGAAACACTTAGAAAGTGGAGAGTCACATTTCACATTACTTACTGGATGATTAATTTCCTGCCACTGAGTTTAGTATAATTGTAGGAACATCTAGAAGCTCAGGGCCATCTGAAATACTGTGAATGGCCTCTATTTTCTGCGCAAGGACTGATCCTGAAGTAATGCGTTCTTTTAATACTTAGAGCCTTCTCTCTCGTATTTAGGTTCGGAAGATTTGTCTTAGGGTTATTGAAGTGTGTGAGATTGATCAAAGCGTCCACTTAGAAGGGTTGTCATGTTTTTAATACAAAAATTTGTGGTTTCGTTACAGACAAAATCTCGTCATCACAAACATCATATAATTTGTTGCGTAGTTATTATCTGGATCTCTACTTTTTAACGTACGCTTCCCGTTTTTCTCGATATTCAGGTCCTGATGCATTTCACGTGTTGTGCCAAAGTCATCGAGTTCTTGTCAACAGGTTTATTTGAGTTTAACATTTCAGTGTTGTCCTTACAATCTATCTACTTGTGTGGCTGTTTTACTTCTTAAGCCAGTAATTCGCTCAATTAAATAACTTCAGAAGTTGCTCGTGCAAAATATACAGCTTTATACAGACCAAACAGATTGCGCCACTTAGTAAGATCTAATAACCTTAATGAAAACTTGGAGAAATCCACTCGGATGTTTACATTTCCATGTGATTACGGAACGCATCTACTAAATATGGTAATATAGCGATCATACACTAAGTACTAACGTTCAGGCTGCCGGTTGGCTTTAGATTAAACAAGCAAAATTCTAAGCACAGCAGAGCACTTACAAGCCTGAAAATGAATGTTTTCTGAGACATACTGCCTGATTAATTACACTGTATTTAGTTGAAATTATCATTAGAAAAACACATATTAGATCAGCCTAATATAGTTCTGGATTGATTGCATGACAAAATATTGCTAAATACTTTATCTTCAGTCTTGTTTTTATTTTTAGACAACTGCTAGTGACCTCAAATACCAGTGTCAATATAAATCAAGTCCAATTACATTGAGGTTAAGGATGCCACATGTATTCGGAGTTTGATATGGCTTTTACCAGCAACACCTTTGTAGTCGAAGTATGCAAGTCCAAACAGGACAGAAGCAAAAGGTGAAGTGCTTCAAATACATATTTGAAAAGCTATTGAAATATCTGGAAGCGTTTGGTCTAGGCTGGTTAACAGTCGCAAGCTATGTGCAGCATGGCTTACCCACCCATAATCTAGTGCAGGTGCGTGACAGAGATCCTTCAGCTATATATATCGATTAAAATTAATTAGGTCAAGGTCAAAAGTTGGAGACACACAGAACTATTTATTTAGGCGGTTTATTTACCTCTACAAGGTTCAGATATTTTGTTCGTCCAATTAAATTGCTATTCCAGTCCAGTTATGTCTATCCAGCTTAATTATACTTTGACTGTTTTGTACTACTTTATATGCTAACAAGTTCCGTTACTGAGATATATATTCAACACCATTTGTATTTCAGTTCTCACTTGATCCCATTACCCGAGGCTACTTCGTGTAACACTTAAGAATGCTATCGACGTAGAGGATGTCTTGCTAGCAAGTCATTTACTGAAATCAGACGGGAATGTGAGAATACTGCCTGACATACCGTATTCTGAGCGCAATCATATCTGGAACATCCTCAACGAATCTCGCGATCAGTTTTTCCGCGGAAGGAATATAGTTGTGCAAGGTGTACCGGAAAACACGGACTCTAATCAAGCAAACTCCGACATCAGGGAGTGGAAATTCATCAAACAGTCCTTGAGGCTCAAAAACATACTAGCTCAACACGTGAGGGAACTAGCCAAGAAGGACGGTGATTCCAGACCTCGGCTAATGAAGATAACTTCCCATCTTCCCATATGGCGGCTGCAACTCTGGAGGCATTTCGTGCCAACAGACATCAGTTGCCAGCTGGAATCCATATGCACCCGGATAGGCCATATGAGGCTAGGACCAAGCACAAAGGCAAGTTGGAGCTGACCATTCCACTTGTGGACTGTCTCGATGATAAAAAACGTGCAAAGGACAGGGCCTTCCAACTCGGAAAACCTTATATAGGTAGGCTACCTGTCCATTCACGTAAGGCTCATTCAGACAAACAGGAAGCTCACGCGTTTCAAATTGAAGGCATAAACTGCTTATACATGAACGCCGCGAGTCTACCAAACAAAATGGATGATCTACGTAAACTTAATAGTACTAACAAGGCTCATCTGATAGGAATAATTGAAACTTGGATATCTTCTCAGTTCTCGGACCAGGAGTTAGCAGTACCTGGAATGTCTTTGTTTCGCAACGACAGAAAATCAGGGATCGGGGGTGGAGTAGCCATGTACATACGATCTTGCTTGGAGGTACACCAAGTCCGTAACCACGAGTTTAACAATCTTGAGGAATCTATATGGTGCTCTGCGAGATTGTCTTCTACTTCGAGGTGTCTAGTCGGAGTCATATATAGGAAGCCCACTGTCGACATCGAGTACGGCAGTCGTATGCTGGAAGGACTCTCCCACTCTACTCGTCTCGGTTTCACTCATATCCTGATTCTAGGGGACTTTAATCTCCCTAGAGTCAACTTCGCGGAACATACGTACATTGAAGGTGAAAACCCAACTGAAGCTCGGTTCTTCAACCTCATTGATAACTTGGGATTATACGAAAATGTGGGGTCGGCAACTCGTTGGAGAAACAGTCAGGCACCATCGCGTTTAGACTGTGTATATACAAACGAAGAATTCCTAGTTGACAACCTCTCAAGGCTGGCTCCCCTGGGAAAAAGCGATCACGTCGTTATGGCTTTCAGTTTTGTCAGCAAAACTGAGCTGAGATATCCCGCCAACAAATTGCGCTGGAATTTCAAACTGTTGAATGTGCCAGCTCTACAGGACTATCTACAACAGGTGGATTGAGATGTTCACCTTCAACTCGATGTGGATGCTCATTGGGACTTCTTACTGCACACGCTCATGTATGCTACAAATCATTCAGTTCCTCAAACGGTCCCCATAGCTATCAGCAACCCACAATCATTAGGAACCACACTCTTCTCTTGCTAAGCCGCAAAAAGCACTGATGAACAGAGTACAAACGAATTGACAACAGTGGAGCGTACAGGCAATATAAACATATAAGGAACATATGCACAAAGGCCATAAGAGAACACAGGCTTCAGTACCAGACAAAGCTTATGGAGACGATATACAGGCACTTCAGGAGGATCTGACTCGATTTCAAAGTTGAGCAGACGATAACGGACTTACCTTGAACACTTCAAAGTGTAAATTGGTCCATATGCCACATGTTGCAGACTGCAGTTACAACTTAGGAAACTCCTCGCTAGTAGTATCCCAAGTCGAAAAAGATTTAGGAGTCCTGGTGCCCTATGATTTAAAGTCTTATGCTAACTGTGACGAAAATGCCTTCCGAGCAAACCTTGCACTGGTTATGTTGTAGCGCATTTTTGGCCAGTTTGACGTAAGAACTTTCCTTATAATCTTCAATAGTTTCATCCGTCCTCATTTAGAGTACGGAAACAGAGTATTTCCTCCCTCATTCCAGAAGGACAAGGGCACTCTGGAGCGTATCCAACGCCGAGCCACGAAATCAGTTCGGCGACTCAAATTCAAACCTTATGGAGAGCTCCTTCAATCACTTAACCTTTACTCGTTAGAGTATAGGCGTCTTAGTGATGACCTTCTAATGTTTCACAGTATCCTTAACACTTCTGGACATCATCTCAAGCACCTACTTAAGCTTAGTTCCAACACTAACCTAAGAGGTAACACCCAGAAATTGGAAACACGATATAGCAGAACGGACTGTAGACACAATTTCTACTCCTTAAGAGTAGTCAAAAGCTGGAATTCGCTGCCGGCCGAGCCAGTCCAAGCGACTTCCCAGGAAACCTTTAATAGGCAACTTGATCTATTTTTAAGGATTAAGGATAGTATCATACTATGATTTACCGATTTCTTTTTCCTCTTTTATTGTTAACATACCTAGGTTCCTGCCTGGAGTTAATCGTGATCCCCTGCTACTAGACACGGAAGCCTGTTAAGCGAAAGCTTCTTCTATTCTGTCCACAACCATTTGAACTAATTGTACAAACAGGTCCCTCAAGGTCGTCAGAAAAGAGGTAAGTTCAGTCATAAGTTGTGCGGTGGGCTTTTCGCTCTAGTTTTTGATTTATAAGATTGTCTTAGTCATAGAGTTGTGTTGTTTCTGTTCACTGTCGGTCTCTTTCACTATTAAGTGTGCGCTTGCTGTGTCGTTGACTCACTTTATCTTATGTTCCCTTTTCTAGCACTCCAAGCTATTGTGCGTGTTCTTCTTGTACACAAAGTACCTTCTGGCCTGACACAAACCACAACAACTGACTCCCGTCCCTTGTTCAGGGTTCGTCTGACTCCATAACAACACAAATTACTGCCAACAAAACTACACATGTTCAAAAAGTAAGATCGAGTTATTATTAATCGTCTTTGTAGGTTTGACGAAAAGGAGGACATTTCCTGTACAAATAATGCTAAGAACTCCATCGTGAAATCTTTACGCACTCGACTGACTGAAGGTTATGGCATTGATAGTAAAATGGTTGATCAGATTTTACCCAAGAAAGATGTTGTAAAACACATTAAGTGGTAAGGTGCTGGGGTTTAATATTAAACTAATTAAGTCATGAACATGTCGACTTGTATTCAGATTCTGACGGTGAAGTCATGTTTTTCCGACAACGTGAGGGTCCGTTTATTCCATCGCTGAGATTGCTTCATAAATGTAAGTAGTTTCTGGTTGTGATCGTCTACGTAATATTTGATGATGAATCACATTTGTGGGTGCTTGAGCTGATTTATAACTTTACCGCATAGTTTCCAATGGTTATTTTTCGCAAAAGTTGAAAGCCAGAAATTTTAGTCTGATCGTATGCATAACAACCAACAATATTTAAGTTAGAGCAACACATATAAGCGAACAATTGTTTTCAATTAGATCGTCATCAAGCTTTACTCTAATACATGGATATTTATACGAAAATGTTAAACCAATCAAGGCAGTATGGGTCAATAATCACAGTGAAATAGAAAAGGTCACCACACATAATAAGTAAAAATACAAGTTGATAGTAGGAAGACAGGTGTACTGATAGTAGTAAGAATAATAAAATACTATAACAAAAGTCTTATCAATAGTTAAACGTTGGAAATGGAAGGTCAAACGTGGGTAAATGGACTTGGAATAGTCAACACAAAACATTAGTACTATTACGTAATAAGAAGTGTACAAATAATTAGATAGTGAAGAATACAAACGGGAAGAGACGGAAAATCACAAACAAATACTAGATGTGAATATAAGGCTAATGATAACAAAAGTAGAATAAAATGAATAAATAATAATTTAAGAAATCGTTAGTTAAGTTATAACGCCATGGGAGGGATAGGGGGGTTACGAATTTCTTCTGTACACATAAATTGGGGTTATATGTACAAATTCCTATGGCTTCAGCTATATGTAGGAGGCGGGAACGAACTCCTTTAGGAAATGATGGAGGTATACGATAGATCCCTCGAAATGATTTCGATTTACTTACAGCATGACCGCTATCAATGAGATGTGCCAAGATAGAACTGCGAATTGTTTTTATCTGGCCCTTTATAATACTTAAGTTCTCCCATTCACTGGAATTACTGCAAGTCATAACGTAATCGCTTCCAACATTTGGAAATATGCAGTCAGTTATTTGTGAGAGTTTTTTAACACTCAGTGATTTTGTGATAATTTCCGACAGATTCATATTTGGCCCAGAAAACCACATTTTTCTGTTCGTATTCACAATTATTCTAACTGACGTTTGGTGATTTCATATAGTTTAATGTGTCTTAACTGACGCATCAACCTAAATTATAGTGTATTTGTCGAAGCATCCTACATAAAAATAAGATGTCAAGTCCTGTGCGTATCACATATCACCAACTCCACTTTCTCTATTTTTGATTAACTACATCATAGACCTATTGGTGAAAATAACATTCTCGTCTACTGAATTATCGGGTATTGATCTCCTTCCAGGAGGTCCACTTATCGACTTAGAATACACAGATGATATAGTCCTGTTTGGTGAAGACGCTGATAAAATGCAGTCTTTTGATAGCACTAAGCAACAATGCCAGAATGTTTGTAATGCGCTTCTCTCCCTCTAAATTCAAGCTGCTGCTACAGGGGTGGTCTGCGTCAACACCTAAACCAAAGATAGAGAGTGAAGTAGTCGAACGCGTTGACAACTTCACTTATCTTGGAAGTCTGATCAGCCCTAATGGGTTGGTGTCTGACGAAATCTTAGCACGGATTCGAAAAGCTCGCTTGGCTTTTGCCAACTTACGTCACCTGTGGCGAAGGCGAGATATCCGTCTATTAATAAAAGGACGAGTATACTGCTCGGCAGTTCGTTCTGTTTTACTGTACGGCTGCAAAACGTGGTCATTAAGAGCTGAAGATACTCGTAAGCTACTAGTATTTGACCACAGATGCCTTAGAAATATTGCTGGCGTCTGCTGGGATCACCGAGTAAGTAGTAGTGAGGTTAGACGCAGGGTATTAGGGAATGATGGCAAATCAGTTGATGAGATTGTGAATCTTCATCGACTGAGATGGTTGGGCCACTTGCTACGTATGCCCGAACACCGATTACCACGTCGTGCAATGCTAACAGGTGTTAGAGATGGTTGGAAGAGAATTAGGGGTGGCCAGACCAAAACGTGGCATCAGTGCTTGAAGACACTAACCTCTAGTCTGATCCATGTTGGTAGATGCAGACTACTTGGTTGGGGTCCGCGTGACTATCGTAACCAATGGCTGGAGACTCTTGGTGACATGGCTCAGAATCGATCACCATGGCGTCGGTGTATACACTCTCTATCTTTCCTTAAACTAAGAGATTAAAATTGCTTCATATCTTTCTTTCTACGAACTAATTTTTTCTTCCTGTACTATATCCTTATTGCAATCTTTCTTTTATATATTACCACCTGTGAATTAACTACTTTTATGAATCTGGTGTTCATCTTGTTGTGTTAATGAGGTATGGCAACTTGGACCGATGCATATATGTGCCTGGTCCCACGTTGTAGCTGACTGACTGACATATCACCAACTAATAACGACTGTTGAATAGTCTACAAAACTCTCAACTTATGTCAAGCCATATGTCTGTTAAATACACTTTATTATGCATTCATTTTTGGAGGAAGTTGGTCCGCTTTTTCTAAACCTACACAAAACTTTATTAACTTGTTCAGATCCTTTCATCCTACCTCATTTACAAGTTGACAGAGGTGCTATCAAGCATGTTTTAAATGGGTCAAATATTATGTGTCGTGGTTTGACATCACCCGGTGCTCGGATGACAGAAGTTCCTAAGGAGTCAGTTGTTGCTGTAATGGCAGAAGGCAAAACAAATGCACTCGCAGTTGGTATTACTATGTTATCTACTGATGAGATGTGAGTTTTCAAAAAGCTTTATTTATGTGGAAAATATTTTGAATTTACCTTAAAAGTATTTTTAAAATCTTTGATTCTTACCAAGGTACTAAAGATAAATAATTGGTTGATCTTGATTGTCTGAATTGCTACATTTGAAACTTAGTGTATTACTGGTAGGAAAAAACCTGATTTGTTGTTTAGTAACATTTTACTTTGTGCTATTTTATTTCAGCGCTTTAATAAGAAAAACAATGTTCATGTAAACAAATTGCTAAAATTAATTTTCAGTAATATAAAAGGAATTCGGAGGCTTTTGTTTTAAATGTACTTTTTATACAGAAATATATCGAAAAGTGCTAGCGGTCTTATTCGGATGTAGATTTTCAAGATCAAGTACTCTGTAGAATTCTGTGTTCTTGATGGACTATAGCTCTTGATAGTTGTGTAGTAGTTGCACTGAAACTGCTTTTTAGGCTGTACAGAACCTGCATGATATCCAACAATTCTGAAAATCAGTATGAAGATGAATTACCTTCATGGTATATATATATGGCTTGAATTGAAGTTAGTTGATTGACATCAGTACGTCGTAAATTTTAGTTGTAGGTTGATAATAAAGTTAAAGAGGTACTGCCAATACGAAATCCTATTTAATTTGACCAAGCATATAGAACAAGTAATATACAATTCAACAATAAAAGCCAGATCCAGGAGAAAAGGCTGCATTTTTGCTAGAGAAATTTCATGTTTTTAGAAAAAACTAAAATGGAAGTAAACATAGCCTGTATATAGTATTTTACAAGGCCGAGTGACTACTATAGAGAGGTATCAATTACCTGGTATTAATTATTTATTTATTTATTTGAACACATGAATATTGGAACAGGAGAGCGCCAATATATATGCGCCACACAAAACACTCAGAATTCGAAGAGAAATGGAAAGAAAGAAAAAAAACTGAGGAGCGCAAAAGAAAAAGAGAACAATAACGAAGAGATTGGTGTAAGGTAGTGTGGTAGTAACCAGGGAACGGAAAGGTACAATTAGAGGACATCTTTCAGGTAAGGGAGACACAACCACTTTTAATGAAGAAAGTTAAAGAACGTTACAGCAGGATCGCCACTGGCTTCTATTCTGAGCCATATCTGATAACGTCTCTAGCCACTGTGTAGCACCATCTCTCAGACCCCAACCAGGGAGTCGTGAAGGAGCGACACAAGCCAGTCCGTTGCAGCTTTCTTTCATACCACGACACCATGTCATGCACTGACCACCTCTCCGCTTCTTCCAACCAGTCCCAGAGTCGGCAAATAATGCACGACGTGGAATTCTCTGGGACGACATTCGGAGAACATGTCCAAGCCACCGAAGTCGGTGTTTCAAGATGGTGACACCAATTGCATTATCATCTCTGTGCCCGAACACACAATGCCGAACCTCTGCATTACTGACATGGTGTTGGCACTAAATGTCAGCAATCCTTCGGAGACAGCGATGATCGAACACAGAGAGTCGTCTAACGTCCTCAACTCGGAGAGGCCAGGTTTCACAAGCATAGAGCAAAACTGCTCTCACCGACGCGTTGTAGATCCGACCTTTCACAGCCAGACTAACATCACGAAGGCGCCAAAGGTGGCCCAGATTGGCATAAGCCGCTCTGGCTTTCACTATTCGTGCATTGATCTCATCACTCACACCCCCACCAGCACTTATGCAGCTACCCAGATACACGAACTTCTCGACTACGTCTATCTGCTCACCATCCAGGGTGAGTACAGGATTGGAATCCTGCCAGTCTTGTAGAAGTACTTTGCACTTCGAAGGTGCAAAGCACATACCATACCTACGGACACTGATTGCCAACTGATTAAGTGCGGATTGCATGACTTGGGCATTATCGCACAGTAAGACAATATCGTCCGCATACTCAAGGTCGAGAAGTCTTTCTCCAGGCAACAGATCCACACCACCATTACTTATATTCATCAGAGCTGTTTCCAGAATGTCATCGATGGCAAAGTTGAAGAGGAATGGTGAGATTGGGCAACCCTGCCTAACCACACTTCGTAAATGGAACAATGGAGAAAGGTGGTTGTATGCCCTCACTCTGCCTGAGGTGTTTGTATATAGAGCTTTTAGGATGTTAATAAACTTCTCAGGCACACCCTTCTTCAATAGACAATCCCAGAGAACAGTCCTGTCCAACGAATCGAAGGCAACCCTGATGTCAAGAAACACTACGATTGTTGGCCTTTGATAAGTATGGCGGTGTTCTAACATTTGGTGGAGGGTGAAGATATGATCAATACATCCTCGACCGGAACGAAACCCAGCCTGCTCCTCGCGAGTCAATCTTTCTCGGGTTTTGAACAACCTACGAAGTATGACGGAAGCCAATGGCTTGGACGCAATCGGAAGTAGACTTATCCCCCGATAGTTGTTACAGGAACGACGTGAACCCTTTTTAAAGATAGGGACGATTATCGACTCATTCCATGACGTTGGTACACTCTCTAGTTCCCAAACCTTTGTAAACAACGTCGTCAATTCCTTAGTCAAAAAATCGCCACCATCTTTAAAAAGAGCCGGAGGTAAGTCATCTGGGCCAGGTGATTTGTAACGCTTCAAGAGTTGGAGTTCCTTGCGGACTTCCTCCTCGTTTGGTGGATCAGTCGTCACCGGCCATGGAGGGCAGGACAGTCTGACCGATGTTGCCGGAGCAGCAGGCCAGTTGAACTGCCCTTCGAAAAATTCTGCCCACCGTCCAAGACGTCGATGGATGTTAGTGATTGGCATCCCATCATCCTCGCAGATTGTTTCGCTCACACCAGACTTCTTGCTGCCAGTGGCTCGGATGAGCTGGAAGAGCTTCCGGTAGTTACCAGATGCAGCTGCTGCTTCCAGCTCATTAGCACGCTCCGACCACCAGGCTTCTCGGTCTTTACGCAAGCTTTGCCCAATTTCCTTACGTAACATCCTTCGTTTATGGTCAAACTCACGGTCACCCGGAGTAGACCGACGGGCCTCAATGAGTTGTAAGGAACCAGAAGAAACCCAGTGCTTATAAGCGGGACGTTTCGCAAACCCACAACTGACTGTTCCCGCCATTTTCATGGCGTCATGCAATTGCAACCAATGCTCATCTATACTTTTCGGTGGAGTGGTAGCTAGCCTAGAGGCTAGCTCGGTTCGATACTTACTTGCAACAGAAGTTGCAACCAGCTTGCTAATATCAATCCGTTGATGGCGGTCACTTCGTTGTCCACTGAAAAGTAAGGCAAGATTGGCGCAGACCAAGGCATGGTCAGAGTCCAGATAGGTACTCCAAAGAAGCGGCGGTCTTGTACACAACCACGTCAGCGGTAGCTGATCGCGATGTGATCAATCTGAGTCCAGGCTTGAGATGCAGAGGGAGGACGCCAGGTGGCACATCGGCGATGACTGTGCCGAAAGTTAGTGCTAGCCTGAAACAGGTTGTGGTCTGTGCAAAGTTGCAGTAGACGGCCCCCGTTATCTGACCTGCGACCGAGTCCCCATCGGCCACCTAAACGACTCTCTTCTGTGCCTAGACGCCCGACTTGAGCATTCAAGTCTCCGGCTAGTACTACCATATCTGTCGAACGCACTTTCTGGAGAAGAACAGATAACTGGTGGTAAAAATCATCCTTGATTGCATCCGGGCTGCAATCCGTCGGGGCATAGGCGGAGATGACGAAAAGACATCGTTTCTCACGCCGACTTCTGACTTTGATGGAACTTTCTAATCTAACAGCACATAACCGACTGTTAATGGGGATCCAATCGACTAGTGCTGCCTCAGCTCTAGCGCTTAGTGCGACACCAACGCCAGCAAGACCAGACGAAGATGCCACAGGGTCCCCGAATAAGCGCACGTAAAACAAGCTTTTCGAAGCGACAGATGGAGATCGAATTTGTAGTACTTCGCCAGAGTCTTGAATACGGGTCTCGGATAGACAACAAACATCAATATTAAGACTTTCCAAAGACATAGCCAGTCCTATCTGTTGTCCGACCTGCATAAATGTGCGAACGTTGAAGGCAGCCAGTTTGAATGGTGCACGTGGTTTCAGAAAAACTGCTTCAGTTCTCGTATTCGGTGGTAACATACAATTTTCAACCTGACAGTGACTCGAGAACGTTTAGATACAGTCGAATTTCCACCAAAGACGAGCCGCTGTATAAGTATAAAAGAGGGTGAATAATGTGGAAAATAATAATAATAATAATAATAATAATAATAATAATAATAATAATAATAGTAGTAGTAGTAGTAGTAGTAGTAGTAGTAGTAGTAGTAGTAGTAATAGTAGTAGTAATAATAATAATAACAATAATAGTAATAATAATAATAATATTAATAATGACAATATTTGTAATGATAATAATTTGAATCAATTGATTGTTTTTCGAAGCGAGAAAAGTAAATTCCATAGACATAAAGAGTTCATCATTTGTGTGTGGGCTGTGATACTGCTCGGGTGCCCAAACTGAAGCAGGTGGTTATCTTAGGGGGCCACACCCCGAGCCTTTGACCTAAAGGTCTAACCCACAAGGCAGTGGAGCATCGTAAGGAGATGCAATCCCATGGTAGCCGGTGACCAACGATTGGTTCATACGCCATTTGTTCCCGCAGGATACTGGAGCCCATGTGCACCATTGGTTTGGAATCCGGTTAAAGCGCCGGATATTCGCTTTCCGTCCTCTCATTTTCTTAAACAACACCACCGCCACGAGAAGGCAATGAGTAGAACTTCCCTAGCAGAGGCTGTATACGCGTGGCCGTGTGAGAGTATTTCGAGAGGGAGAGCGGACTCTCCCCACTCTCGGCCGTACCAGGGCATTCGGGGGCACCTGGTATTAAACAGGTTGTAAACATAAGGATAACTATTGTTATCGTAAGCACAACACAACCACCATCTACGAATCAAGCTAATGTTCACAAATGTCTAAATGTTCACCAGCGTCTAATTGTGGAATGTATTCTCATTCCTAATCATGGAGTTCAACCATTTCAAGAGAAAGTTAATTACCCACCGAGAACTATCTCAAAATATCTCTAATAGATTAAAGTAAAATGGATTCAAATTCTGATTTATGAGTAGCACTATGTAAGATATGGTAGTGTCAGTTCAGTTGTTTAAATTGTGTGTCCATTACTTAGGAGTCCTATATATAGGTAATACAGTTAAGTCCCTTATAGTTTTCAATCGTAACCTAACTGTTGTCGATCCGTGACGAAACTTGCATGCAGATCAAAATGTCAGTACTTCTGATTTTTAGCTCCAAAGGCAGTTGTGCTGTTTTTATTCGCCATATTTTCGGTAATTCCATTGTGTATTGAGATGGAAGCTTTACACCTATCAATTAGTATTGTTAATAAAGTTTTATTTGATAATTTGGAATAAAATGAGTATCAGGTGGATTGTTAATAATAAAAATGATATATTTGTTGTATCTCGATGACTAGAAAATTAAATTTCTGACGTTTCGTGACTCAGTGTGAGTCACTTTGTCAGAAAAAATATGAATAAACAAATATACCTGGCACAAGCTTAAGTAGTATAAAGAAAAGAAACAAAAATATTTAGTACAACCAAAAAGACAGGTCTAATTTATTGTTTACAGTTGTCAGTATTCTTGACCTTACTCCTGCTAGTTTTTTTAAGATCGTAAGCTTAAATCGGGTTTTCGGTTACACATTTTCTTTTAAAGTCAAGACTTTCAATTTTATATCATATTGTAGTGAAGAAGAACACAGGTGAGGACAGCCAAATTGTATTTAGGACAAATTACAGAATTACTTGGTAAATTAGAAAAACCATATAGTAAATCGTTAATTTGCAAAATATCATTCTATCATATCAAACCGGGCTGTTGCTGTTGCAAACATCAATCCATTGTCTCGCATTTCATTGCTCATGCGATTTCTTACAAATTCCATTGTTTTCTCGCTCTTCTTTTCTTGATCTTCTCCATCTTCTGCTGCCAGCCATTACGTTCTTTTGACTCACGTTATATACTACTTATATCAATATAAGTAGCACGCACCACAATATTACGATGAGATGTTTCTACTGAACTAACAATTCATTGGTTAACCTTTTGGAATGAAATTTTTGTTTTTATTTGGTCGTAATGTTGAAAAGTTTTCCTACATAAATTGAATTGCATGTTTAAAATGTTTAGTTGTAAATTAATTTACTTAAATTATAAAGGCTAAGTAAACTAACTGTATTCCTAAAATAGTTTTAATATTTGCTATTCTACTATTGTTCTCTTCTTTCTATTCCAATAGCTTGTCAACCAACAATGGCATTGGGGTCAAAAATATACATTATTTGAATGATGGATTATGGCGTCTCAAAGGAGTACGATAGTTGACTTTGTTAAAAGAACTCTGGGTACATTCTTATTTGTACATAGACCTTGTTATCACTCCCTCGAATGATTTGTAATGTACTTTCAGAAGTGATAATATCTGAGTTTATAAATAAACTTTTGGTGTGAAATCTTTTGTCCTTTTATTGACTGATTTCAAAATTATTTGCTGTTTATTTTAATAATTATATTTGTTTTGATCTCACATATCATAACGACAAATTATAACACTTTGTCCACTTTTTGGGTGCTCTTATCGTGTCTGACTGCGTTACAGTTTTCGTCCTGTTTTCACTTCAAACATCACTGCTCATTGAACTAAATAACGATTGAGTTACAAATATTACATCTCAACCACTTCTAAATTTCTAGCTTAAAATTTATCCTATTTTATTCCTTTTTTGATTTCATCTAGGTTTGTTAGGGTTTACTGGCTGTTTAGTTCCGACTAGTGTTTTGTCCTAAGATATACTTTTCTGGGTTACCATCTATAATTCCCTAAAATAAATTATCCGTTAGGATCCTTTGTAGCTTCTGAAAAAGTAACGAGGTCAGTGTCTGGTATTTTATAAACTGTATCCAAATTGTAACAAATGAAGATTACTCAGACTGAATCTGCCAGTGCTTCAACTACCATCTTGTGATTAGATCCCTAACCTATATCGCTAAATATAAGTGACTCTGACTAAAATATTCCGTATTTTTTACACCTTAATCTATTCGATGTTCCCAACTGCTTGTTGTGTTTTTGTCTTTTCATTTTCATGTTTAAAATAGCATGAATAAATCCTGTCTATACGTTAAAATGTTGCAACGGCTTTTCCCAACATTTATTTTGATGTATTTCTTAATGTCCTAGTGTCTGTCAAAATCATTTCTCAAGACTTCTAAGGCTTTATGTTTTATTTGTGCTTTGGCCAATTGAAGTGGCAAAGTAGCATGTAAACTATCTCCATAAAAAGTCAGATGTCGAAACGTGAAATTTAAACGTTCGAACACTGGAAAACAAATTGTGACCTCAATCGTAAACTTTTGTAGAGAAACTTCACTTCGAATATTCGACTGTTGATATTGTTGGTTTTTATTGTCTTACATATTATTGATGTGTCTTTATCAATATATACCGTAAGTGACGAAGATTATTGATTTTCTGCCTGAACAATTTGCACTTCACTTTCCATGTCAGTTTTGCGTTACCGACTATTTTGAAAACTGATTTTTACGCACAATGTAGTCATAACTTTCTGATTTCCGCTTTTAATATTTAGTCTGAATTAATCGATTCCGACAAATCATTGTATGCACAGATGCCTAGTACATTATGGAATCCGATTTTTCCCATACTGAGTAGGGAGTTTAGTTGCCGTAGTTTCAACTTAATTCGACACTTCGAGCCGCAGGTGAGTTTGAGTAAATTTGTCGTAATATTTAACACGTATTCTCTGGAATCCCTTTTTTATGTTTTTTTCAAAATAGCTTACAGCCTGCTTCTCGCGAGTCAGTATTTCACGGGCTTAGAACACTACATAGTATGAAGGAAGCAGATAGTTCGGACGCAATCAGAAGTAAACTTATTCTTACATAGGTGACTTAACCTCTTTTTTAAGATGAGAACAAAAATCGCCCGGTTTTAAAATAATGAGGCACGCTGTTTCCGAACAAACTAGTCTATTCCGTAGTCAGAAGGTCGCCACCATTCTTAGAGAGGGCCGGAGATAAGACATCTATCCTGGCCTGGTATTCGTGGCAGGAGTTGAAGTTCCTTATAAACTTCTGCCGTGTTAGATGGATTAATCGACACTGACCAGGGAGAACAGCGAATTCCGATTGATGTAACCATACTCCATTAATAAAGAGAAACGAAGTCAAACCAGGAAGAATAAGCATCGAAGATACGATCCGAGAAGAAAATATAAATTCGTAAAATCAAAACAAAAGAAAGTTATGAGGAATTTAGAATCTCGGAATTTGGATGGTGACAAAAGAAGAATCATGTACGCAACTACAAATGATTTTGAGCCGTACCATCCAAAGTCTCTGACCATTGGTTACGATAATCACGCGGACCCCAACCAGGTCGTTTATACCTATTAATATGGCTAAGTCCGGTTATCGGTAAATTCACGAACTGATGCCATGTTTTTGTTTGGCCACCTTTAGCTTTCTTCCAGCCTACTCCTGCACCAGCAAACATCTCCCATCACAGGTTGGTAAGAGCCAATCGAGCCTTCTGAATCCGTGCCGAAATTTCGTCAGATTCCAAACCAACAAAACTGGTTTAACTCGGGAAGCTTAGTGCTAATGTCCCGATAAATAGACCACCTTATTAAAATGCTTTGAAGCCATTACTTGAGGTTATGATTTATTGATCTTGAGACAAGGTTTCCGATCACATCGCCACATTTCGCTTTTGATCCAGGTATATTAAATGTATCATTTTGTGTTAGATCAGGTTCGAGAAATTGCACCTTGAAATTGAAGGTCTTAAATTATTTAGAATTGAAGGTTTCGAATTTTAAATAATTCAAAACCAGTTTTTGATTCAATCTACCTTGAATATTCATTCTAAAAATGGACCCTTAATAATGCCATAGAGTGAGCATATCTTTTATCTTCTCAGTGCAGTGAGCTCTACAACTTCTTGAGGTCCTTATCACGACAGCTGTTCATTGTATGGTACTTACTTCTGTCGACTTCTAACTAAGGATTTATGCAAGCAGGTTGACACATAAGTTGTTATTACTTACTTAAGCGTTGTTTATCTTTGATATTGCGTTGACTTTTATCTATTTTAATAATCGTGTGAGAATACTCTGTAAGCACTAGAAGATGGCATTTTCAAAAATTCGGTCATATATGTCAATCACTTACAAATCACACTACGTAAAATTGGTTTTTATTTTGTCAACTGTATTTTTAAAAAACTTTGCTTGTTGTTTAAGCTGTTCAAAATTTTCTTGAAAAATTATTATTTCCCCATAAGTACGGAGCTAACACGAAAATTACTCACATAAAGGTCGTGTGTGACCGACCTCAATCAGTTGTACCTTGGGCACTGCGGTCAGGCTCTCAGGTCACTAAGACCACCCCTAACCCAATTTTCTTTTCAGGTAACTCCAGAAGAATCTTTCCACGGTGTGGGCAACCGGGGAGTGATAACTGATCTCATACCTCAGACAGCACCCAAGATCACTATTCATATTCAGTCTCCGTCTTCAATTCCTATTATTCCTCCTATGTCATCTTTCAACTCTAAACTTGCTCTTTTGACTTCCTCCGCAAGTGTCACCATGGCCAACGCTTCTAGTGCGCGAGACACTGTCCCAGGTCTACTGAAACCTCGCTCCAAACTACACATTGGAGCCTTCAATGTACGTACTCTATGTCAAATCGGTCAAGTTGATGTAGTTATCCGATACACCTTTCAGTGAGACAAAACCATAGAACCTCATGATCGACAGGATTGGACATCGCCTTGTGGTCAACAAATACAACTATACTCGGACATCAGAAAGTACGTCTATGTTACTGAATCTGCCGAAGGGTGAATATTTGGTCTGTACATCCACCCTCAGGTCTCAAACCAGCCTAATTTCCTCGGGTTTGCTCTACATGAGCTATAGTTAGACGTCGATGTATTATTGAGGCTAACATTTTAGACACTAGATTAGTTAAACTGTCTCCTCACAAGAGGATTATTATCCCTTCTTCTAGATTGGGATGATCAGTGATCAAGACCTGCCAAATGAAATTACATCCAGACCCGAGATTGTAGCTCGGATTTAGTTAGTGTAACTGCCAAAACTGCACCACCATCCCTAACAATCTCAGGGGTTAGTCCATCGTACGATTTATGTATGTTGTGTCTCGGAAACACGCGTACAGGATCCTAGTGTTGTCATTCACTTGACCTCACCTCACCAAAATGGAGAGCCGACGAGATAAGCTCTCCATCTATCTGGCGACCCGATGGCTAGTTCTCGTGGACTGGCAGGTGTTGGCATAGGACTAAGTATGAGGGCAGAACAAGCACTATTAGAATGGGTCCCCGTTGATGGTCGCCTATGCGTTGTTCAGCTAAACGGCTTTGTGAGAACTCGGAAGGATAGGGACACACGTCACTGCCTTTTCGTCGTTCCTGCCTACGCTCTCACGGACTGCAGCTCGGATGAAGTGAAAGATGACCTTTACAGAAAGCTTTCCGAACTTATCCATAAAGCTACCCGCTCAGACAGTACTCGTAGCAGGTGACTAGTGCCAAGGTAGGTAGCTTAAACCAAAACAGCAGCGACATTCATTAGTGATTTAAACCAAAGGGTTACGAAGAACAAATGGGTTTCTACTAGGTCTCTTTCATTGATAGATTCTCGTAAACTCATCCCATCAGGCTCTGAACATGATGAAGAGTGAAAAAAATCAGATCTAAGTTAACTAAGAGTCTAAGGAACGACCGTGAGCAGTGGTGGGTAACGAAAGCAAAAGAGATAGAAAAGACAGCGGCTGTAGGTAACACCAGACAGCTTTTCAGACTAATAAATTCAACTGGAATTAAGAAGTGATGTGTGAGACGATCTCAGAAAAAGACAACACTTATCCGCTTTCAGCCCAGACATTTAGAACGATGAGCGGAACAGTTTAAGGAGCAGTTCATCTGACCTTCAACTACTCTACAACTACCCACCGTTCCCAGACAGCCTGAATGGAACATTGAAGTAGTCCAAAAAGCTATAGCTAATCTGAAACTAGGAAAGGCAGATGGATTGGCTCCAGATGTCTTTAAGTATGGTGGTTTAACTTTAGCGATTAGGTTGACTAATATTTTAGGTGAAATCTGGAAACTGGATGTAAACCCATCTGACTGGTCTCAATCACTGATTGTCCGAATATATGAGAAGGGGTCAAAGTAATCCTGTGATAACCATAGAGGAATTAGTTTGACTAATATAGCATCTAAAATACTAGCCTCAATGATTATTGGGTACCTGACAAA